TGACCTGCTCTTCCTCCTCCACTGCCGGTGGCAGGGCTGGCAGAATATACATCTCATCCACCTCATTTCTCTTCACACTGGATAGGCTGGGTAGAGGATCCTTACTGAAGAGAAAAAAACTTTTCAGCACTCTTATATTTGAACTCATTCACTGCCATTCACTAGTATACTTGTCAAATGCGTTTTTTTCCAATGGAAATTAGTGGGGGAGCATCGGATGCTGCTCCGCTGTACTTTTGAAAGTTGGAAACAGCTTTACTGATGATGCACAACCACCAGTAGATAACATTAATGCCCCAGTCTAGATTTGAGATGAGCACAGATTGTGAGTCCATCGGGAGAAATGGCTGCATTTAGATGCGTTCTACCTTTTTTTTTTTTTTTACTGTGAATTATAATGGCAGTGAATGAGGTCGTTCAGATGTTCGGTCTTGATATACTTTGTGAAAAAGACCCGTCTGTGATGGTTACCTGTCACCTCCAAGCACAGCTTTGATTGCTTGCCTCTTCAGGAATGTCTTGAGGAGTTTCTCATTAGTCCTTTTGGACTCTTGATTCAACTCTTCCTTCCTCTGCCTCCTCAAGGCCTAAGGAAAAATCCACAATAGAAAAAAAAAGTTACAGTGTGCAACAGCGTCCATTAGTCAATAATCCAATGTGTTGGACCGACCAGAGTTTGTTTCTTCAGCAGTGGAGCATCGCCATCAAAGACAAACACTGGCCTGATGCGGAAAAACAGCAACTTGCAGATGCGGTGGAAGAGCGTGAGAAGGTGCGCGTTCTGGACACTGTTGCCATCACGGTCTCGGACCCCTTTCACGGCCTGATTGAGCCAAATACTGATATCTATTGTTGCCAGGTTAAGGTTGATGTTTGAGAGAGCAGAGTTAATAAGGACAAACCAACTGGGAGAGAGAAGGGTGAAATGATGAGATGGTTGACAGTCGATTAGAACACTCAAGTTTGGATACCAACAGCAAGAATTTTACCCTCCAGAGTCTCTGGATTAATGGGTTTCCCTGTGCTCTCCAGCAGCCTCCAAAGTCCATGCACTCCCATGGCCCAATTTAAAACAGCATCATAAGGTTATAGCCAACCAGATCAATAAATGTTGTCTCTTCGTGGTAACAACAATTCCGTCCGCCCGGGAACCAGCTACAAGAACAAACTTTCCGTCCAAATCCTACTTTTTGCCCTGGTTTTGTACTTGTCAGGCTATGGCTAACAAATGTTTTCTCGATATAAACTTAAAACTTACTTATTAAATTGTTGTATATAGTGACGTTAAAAAAGCTTAAGCAATTTCAAAGACGAAACGGACTGTGAATTTTTTTTTGCTGGGGGAGGGTGGAAAAAAAAATCTAGCCTGAAAGACTTACCTCAGGGTAGTTTATCGAAACAATACCAACCATATCCGGTAACGTCATCAACAGCTGTAAACCGGAGGACCGTTGTGAAGTGTTTTGTTGTCTCAAATATGATCTGAACATGATGGATAATAACTGATACAACCATTGGAATCATTATTTGGGTGTTATTGACGAAACCGGTCGTTTTGGCTCGTACTTCCTCAAAGTAAGTCGTCAATTTGCTAGCCGCAAAATTAGCCACGTCGGGAAGCAGCCGTCTTCATCTGATTACCTTATCAGCTGATAAACGTGACTGTTGACTCTAATCACGTGAGTCATAATAATTGTTAGTGGGAGCATCATTTTCCTTTTTTCATTTCAGAATAATTCCTGGAACACACTGGACGTGGATACCGTTTTTTTTTGCCTCGCCGTCAGCGAAGTAGCCTACCACAAACATCATGTCTACTGCTGTTAGGGGTATGTAGCACTCACACACCCTATAGGTACGTGACGAAAAATCTAATCAAATCTTTGTTTTATCATCAGGACCAATGTTACCGAACACAGCTTGAAAAAGTGAAATACAATTGATTAAATGACATTTTAAAGACTTCAAAAAGTGGGGGAAATGAGCGTTTGTTTTCAAATTCAGAACAACACAATGCCCCGCGATCAGTTTTTAAGAAAAGAAATGCAGCTGAGACCTTGAGCCCTCATATGCTCCCCAAGTGTGGACTGAATTATACAGACACTGCAAGTAAGTGTAGGATTTCACAAGCTAAGTAATAATTCTGACAGTTTAAAAAAAATGAATGACATGACTTAAATATTAATTCGGAATTATCACAAATTTGTAAAACACATTTTTCACCAGCAAAAAAATAATCACCCCTTCCTATCCAAACCATCATTCACCCCACCATTGAAACACAGTTATGGCGGGCTTTACATACAACGCTTCAGAAAAATCATGTTTGCATATCCGACAGAGTAGAAGTTACTCAATTATAATCATTGCAGAAACAGTTGCATTTCTTTATTTGGGGGCGTGTCTTTCAATCCCATCTTCCAGATGCTGCCCGTGTCCCAGTAAGAGTTGCTGGCGATGGCATGGAAACTGAGAAAACGCCCTCCACCCTGGAGGTCAGCACAGACACACTGTCACCAGGTCTATCTGCCACTCCCTACAGCAAGGCAGAAAGCCCCAAACACAGCCCCAAGTCGATCAGTCCTCCTCTCCCTGTCGGCCCGCAACCCCTTGGGGTGCTCCACTTGGGCAAGGTGAGTAGGGAGACCTGCACGGAGGTCGAGGCCATAAGGATTGTCGTCCCTCGTGCTGCCATAAGTAGAAGCAGCCGCATAACCGAGGCGAAAGTAGATGCCGGGCAACAGGTGGAAGAGCGAAGTTCTTCCCCTCAGCCATCGGTGGATGATTGGAGAGGACAGCTGGAGAAGCTTCAGAACTCTGAACGCAGGCTTCTACAAGACAAGGAAGGCCTCTCCAATCAACTGCGTGTGCAGACAGAGGCAAGACCCACATAAAGCGGATACATGTTCCATATGGTTTTACGCAAGCGGTCTAAATGCCATTATTTCATGACGTATGACTAGGTGAACCGTGAGCTCAAGAAACTGCTGGTGGCATCCATGGGCGATGACCTGCAATACCAATTTGAGCGTCTGGCCCGCGAGAAGAATCAGCTGATTCTGGAGAATGAGGCTTTGGGTCGGAGTCTGTCTCACACGGCGGAGCAGCTGGAGCGCATGAGCATCCAGTGTGACGTCTGGAGGAGCAAGTTCCTGGCCAGCAGGTATGATAGACACCATTACTTATTTACCACCCAGTCACGTAGACAATCCACGATCCGATGCAAGTGTTATCCTGTTTGGCGACATGAAGTATTGTACCTGTGCGCCACTCCAAATTGAGCTTCACCATGAGAAATTTGCCACTTTGAACCTGCGTCGTTGTATCTCCAGAGTGATGGCAGAGGAGCTGACAAATGCCAGAACAGCTCTACAGCGTCAGACCCGAGAGGCGCAGGGCGCCATTCAGGACCTGTTGTTGGAGAGAGTTGAGTTCTCGAGGGAAATGGCGCTCACACACAGGTGACATCTACAGGGAGGAGCCCCCATGGCTCAAAATGATTTCCATGGTTTATGCTATGCACAGGCGCATTATTTGAATATTGATGTCGCAGTCCTCTCCCCCATCTCTTTGAAGAAATGCTCATGCCTGCTTAACCGGACAGTTGAAAATTTTGAAGTGAAGTTGTCATTTAATTTTAACTAAGCAGCTCGTCTAAGTGTCTCTTCAGGGTGTTTAATGCGGTCGTGTGGTTCTGCCCATCCGCCTTTGCTGTTGTCGTCGTCGTCAGGTCTCTGGAGCAGCTCCTGGTGTCTCTGCAGTGGGGCAGGCAGCAGACGTACTACCCCAGCGCACAGCCGCTCAGCACGGGAGAGGTGGCGGCGGCCAATCACAAACTAGCGGACGCCATCAACGCTCACCTGTTGGGCAATACCCGCGGCGGTGTGGTCAAAAGCAGCAGCGCCGCGACGGCCGATCAGCCGTGCAGCACCCCAGCAGAGAAGATGGCCGAGAAGGTGCATATTTCTCCTATTTTCGGATCAAATTCTACTAGATTTGAATGCCAGCATTACTCATGAACTCCCGTGGTTTGCTGACGCGTGTTGTAGGTGCTGAAGATTTTGGACCCCATTTCCTGCGGGGAAAACAAGGCAGAGTCTCCGCTCAGTGACTCACCCGCCTCAAACTTTCTGAGCAGTAAGAAGAGCATTGGCAGGTTTCACCCGTACACTCGCTATGAGAACATCACTTTTAACTGCTGTGAACGCTGCCGCGGAGACATCCTCGTGCTCTAGACCGGCGTCACCATCGCAACCAATCACGTCAGCAAGTCATCACCATTGTATCAGACGTTGGGCCGCGCCATCTTTTTCCAACCAGGGAGCTTTAAGTTTTTAGCAAATGATTTGCAAAGCAGTTAGCAGGTTTATTTTAAATGGTTTCCAACAAATGCTGTCCACAGAAATGAGCCTTTCCCAACCTTCAGGAATCTAAAAGTCTCCGTTTTCAGTCCTATGTCAGTGTTACACATTTTTTTTTGTACTGGATTTTGCAGGAATTTCTCGCTATTGATGGCTATCGCCGTCTCTCACATTCTTATAGGAGAATTTGGTGCTTCTTGATTTTTTTTTCCAAAGATGAGTCTTCACATCCCAATTCCTGATTTTAGAATAGCATTATTTATAATAGTCATGCATTTCAGAGCCACCACAAGCCGGTTCAAACTGCTGTATTTCAATGTTGTGCTTAAACCCGATTAAGGACCTTCTGTTAACCTTTATGGTCATGTTTTGGGGTTAATCTTTTTGCATGTTGGGAAGTGATTAAAATGCAGGTATATTTTTGAAGCTGTTACAGAAAATTTGAGTTGACATGCAGAGGAAAGTTGAACTTGTATTTCGATTTTCTTTATTGTTCTTATTTTTTGTTGGGGGCATAACTTTTTATTGTAATTCATGAGTGTGTTTATTTTTCTTTCAATATGCAGGACAATGTTGTCATATTTTTTGCTAATTTAATAAAGAACAAAACAGGTACTACAGCAAAACACCAATATCCCACAACGACAGTATTTCATTATTTAATTCTCGCAAATGCAGATGGATACAATGTGTCCATTTAGTTACGTCATCAATCATCATCCCACCACGCCCTGCTTTTGCTCTCACGTCTTCCTTCCATGCTACTCTTAAGAGATGTCCGCACTCTAGTTGGAGCTGGTCGAGATGCTCCAGACACTCGGTTCATCCCAGTGAAGCCAAACTCTCCTTTGTACTTGAATGCACTTTGATCTCCACTTCTGAGTGTCTTTTTACTTTTTGGACCCATGTGTTTTGAAGACCTATCCCCATTCTCTCCTGGTCCATGACTGGTGATTTGTTGCTGGTTCTGGTTAAAGCCAACATGCTTCCTCTTGGGCACAAATTGTAGCGCCTCCTGCCATTTCCCTGTTTCTTTCATGCTCAACATGATGCGTATCATCTGGTCCAGGGTCAGGTTTTTGGCTCCCATCTCCCAGTGGAGGAACTCGTCCAGCGGTAAACGGGCTGTGGCCAATTTCAGACGCTTTGCGTTGGCCAGTAGAGAGAGAGAGAGAGAGAGAGAGAGAGAGACTGACACACATGTACATACATTTACTTATTCTCCAGAATAGGGACCGGGCCAGCCCACGTATCGCAAAAATTTGCATTCATTTGAGGATTATGAACATTTTTTTGGTTGTTTTTTTAATAACAAACCCCCAAAATTCTTCAGAAAACACTGATGAGCATTCGGTGTTTTCCATGAAAAACGGGGAGGAAATGTGGAGAAAAAAAAAATCCGGAAAAAAAATAAGTATGTTTTAAGAGATGGAAAACAAAATCTGCAAATGTGCAAATCCGCGGGTGCTGAATGGGGAGTACGTGGGGATTAACTGCACTCCCTCAAATGACTGATATTCAAAGTACAATGTATTACCTGTGGATTATAATAGCGCTGAGAAATTTCTGAAAATAAATAACAGGACAGCCTTTTGGGCGTCTGACCTGCTCTTCTGCTCCTCCTCTGCCTGTGGCAGGGCTGGCAGAATATACATCTCATCCACCTCATTTCTCTTCACACTGGATAGGCTGGGTAGAGGATCCTTACTGAAGAGAAAAAAACTTTTCAGCACTCTTATATTTGAACTCATTCACTGCCATTCACTAGTATACTTGTCAAATGCGTTTTTTTCCAATGGAAATTAGTGGGGGAGCATCGGATGCTGCTCCGCTGTACTTTTGAAAGTTGGAAACAGCTTTACTGATGATGCACAACCACGAGTGGATGACATTAATGCCCCAGTCTAGATTTGAGATCAGCACAGATTGTGAGTCCACCGGGAGAAATGGCTGCATTTAGATGCGATCTTTTTTTTTTTTTTTTTACTGTGGATTATAATGGCAGTGAATGAGGTCATTCAGCTGTTCGGTCTCGATATACTTTGTGAAAAAGACACGTCTGTGATGGTTACCTGTCA